CTGCTTGGCGCAAACCCTGCTGGTGACTTCAAGCTGAAGCCAATGCTGATTTCTCGCGCTGCTAACCCACGACCCCTGATTACTCTAAGGATCACCTTCCTGTCATTTACAAGGAAAACAAGAAAGCATGGATAACTGCTGCCATATTTAGCCAGTGGTTCAACATGTACGCCGTCCCTGCAATGAAGGACTACTGTGCCAAGGAGAACCTTGACTTCAGATTTCTTCTGATCGTTGACAATGCTCCAGCTCATTCTCCCAATCTCGACGACTTGCATGACAGTGAAAAAGTTGTCTTCCTGCCTCCCAACACAACAGCACTGATGCAGCCTATGAACCAAGGCGTCATCGCCGCATACAAGGCATATTATTTATGCCGTACCGTGGCCCAGCTGCTCAAGGCTACAAACGGAGAAAATAAACCCACGATCCAAAAATATTGGCGCGGCTTCAACATTCTTCATGCAATTGACAACACTGGCAAGGCATGGGAAGAGGTTTCAGAAAGTTGCCTGTGGTGTAAATTGTGGCCCGAGTGCGTCTACAGTTTTACGGGATTCACGGACTTAGTCCCAGCTGTGAATAGGGATATCCTCAGCTTGGCTAGACAGGCAGGCTTTGATGAGATGGAATCAGAGGATATTGAGGACGTCCTGGCATCCCATACAGAAGAGCTCACACACGAAGATCTGCAACAACTGCAACAACTAACAGAACACAGTCCCGTTGAAGAAGACGACGAAGAAGAACCTCAACGAACGCTAACTTCCAAGAGGATGGCAGAAGCGTTCAACAGGATCCAGCAAGGAATGCAAATCCTTATAGATGACGACCCAAACAGAGAAAGTAGCTCACAGGTTCAACACAGCATTGATGAAAATCTTGGTAGTTACACTGAGATCTGTAAGGAGAAGAAGAAGAGGAGAGTAGCAGCCAGCAGTCAACACTGGATTCATTTGTTCATTGTGGGATGGCAGAAGCAGCTTCTTCACAACAGCCGGCAGCCGAGGAGGAGCAAACTTCTACGGAGGAGGACCAAACAGCGGCGGAGGAACCCCAGTCAAAACAGGAGGAGGAGGAGGCAGCCGCAGTCTCAATGACTCACCACCCTCCTCCTCTCTCGCCCACCCCCGCTCCCACCTTCCTCCTCCTCTCCTGCCCTCCTCCTCCGCCCGCTCCAGCCATGCTACTCCCCTCCAGCCATCCTCCTCCTCCTTCGCTTCACTACCCACCACACACTCGCTCCCTGCCCATCGAAGGGGTATGTAGAGACTGAGATGGCCTTTGTGTGACGATCGGGAGGACAGGAGCACTGATGGGCATACTTCTGTCCCCTTACGTGGTCAGACTGCGAATGTCTGATAGTTTAACTGCACAGTACGTGGCCACGTGCGTGTGTGCATGCAAGAGAGAGATAAACATAAGAACATAAGAACATAAGAATGGAGGAAACTGCAGTGGACCTATTGGCCCATACTAGGCAGTCCCATTTACACCCAGCCCCTATTGCTCATATATCCATCCAACCTAAGTTTGAAGCTATACAGCGTATTCGAGTTAATGATGATATTTGGTAACTTGTTCCACTCGTCCACTACTCTATTTCCAAACCAATGTTTCCCTATTTCGCGCCTAAATCTAAATTTGTCTAATTTAAAACCATTGTTACAAGTTCGCTCCTGGTTGGAAAGTTTGAGTACCTTTGTAATGTCCCCCTTTGTTTAGCCCTGAACGGCAGTGTCCTACACAATGGCACCCAGTCTGAGCTCTTCCCCATTCAAACGGGGTAAAACAAGGATGTGTACTGGCACCAACTCTCTTTTCCATTTTCTTGGCTGCCTTCCTTACTCATGCCAGTGCCAATTTAGCCGGCGGGGTGGACATCCAGTACCGGGTGAAGGGTCTTTTCAACATAAGACGACTCCAGGCAAGAACAAAAGTGTCAGCAGCTTCCTTTACTGAACTTCAGTATGCAGACGACCTACTCTTGTTGCTCACACTTAACACGACCTATAGGAGATCCTGAACACTTACGCAGATGCGTATGCACACTTCGGCCTTGAGGTGAATGTACGTAAGACTCAGATTCTCTTTCAACCTGCCCCTGGTTCAGACACACCGCCACCATCCACCCAGCTTAACGGTACTATCCTCTCTCATGTTACCCACTTTCGGTATCTCGGCTCCCACCTGTCCACCACACACACAGATAAATAATAATGGGAAAATTCTCTCACAAATAATCAGAAACATGACAACAAAATGTATCAAAATGTAGAAAAAAATGTGAGAGACTACCCTCAAGTCAACTCCATGCTTTGTTATTAAAGCTTGGTTGGTTGGGTTGTCATACAGAAATTTTTTCCTCGCAAAAATTAGTCTCTAGAACGAATGGCATTTGAGCACCAGCTGGGCTGATACGTAGATAAAACTTACAAAGTTTCTTTTGTAGCCATCTAGCCAACCCAAAATAAAGGATGTCGGTAATTGTGGTGTAATACTGTACTTTATATCACAATATGTATTTAGGATGGTGTGTGCATATAAGTGAGTAAAAATAAATGAAGGAAGTTACATATATCTACCAGAAAACACGAGTTGAAAAAAAAACATAACACCTCACAGTAGCCTGGTGGTCACAATGATGAGCTAACCTAGCTACAATGCCATGATTAATCACTATTAAACACTCTTCTATCAGTAAACACTAAAAATAATAGTAAATCCGGTGAAATATGGCAGGGAGTGAGGAGAGTTACAACTGCAGATGACTTGCTAACTTGCAGTCACTCAATTCCCTTACCTGCTCCCGTTGCCAGGTGTAGCCAGGCGTAGGTATGGGAGAAATACATGACCTTTTCTCTCATCACTTGCTTGGACACCTACCCACAGCTGATGAAGGTGGTTCATGGCGTTTGGGAACCATCACAAGCACAAGGAGCACAGTTGTTAAGAGAGCAGAGCAGCACATCCTCAAAACGGACAAGTGTTTAACCAGACTAAGGTGGAGTGAGTGCACATAGCCCAGCCTCCTGGGACAAGAGAGACACCTTGCAGGATGCCATAAAACTCGCAGGCTCCCTGTCCTGGCCGCAAAATTGCCTCCAACTTTAAAACTACCCTGCAAATATTCTTGGGTACATCCAGGGTGTCATCCACGAATAATCGAAGGCAACGAATTAAAAATCCACAATTTGTAAGGGTATGCTGTACTACTAATTCTACCCATTCTTAGGCTGATGATTCTATTCTTCACTCTTCTCATTTTTCCCTTCCCCCTAACTCAAACTAGATCTGATTCTAGAGCTGATATTTTTTCATCTATCAATGAGGATCTGCACAGTAATAAAACAGTACGTATTTACCAATTACACTTTCCAAAATAGAAGATCTCCCACCAATCACATTTCAAGATGCAATCATTTTGCCAAATTCTAAAATAGATATGCTAAACCTCACCATTTCTTCTAATATATCATGGAAGCCACACATCCACAACATTGCTAAAGCTGCCTCCCAAAAGCTGGGAATGCTGTACAGATGCCGTAGCTACTTCACCCCTGAGCAGTTGCTTCAAGTATATAAGGGATTCATTCGTCCTAACTTGGAGTACTGCTCTCATATCTGGGATGGCTCTTCTTCTGTCCAACTGTTAGATAGGGTGGAATCAAAGGCATAATCTCTCTTCCTTTTCTCTTCACTGCAATGTTGCTTCACTCTCTCCCCTTTACAGGTATTTTAACGGGCAACATTTGATGGAATTAGCATCCTGTGTACTGCCTGCAAGGCAGTGGGCTCATAACATTTCGTCTTGCCCGCGGAGCCCACCGTTTCTGTGTTAATGTTGGTCACACTAGAATAACCCATTACTATAGTACTTCCTTCTTTCCTCACAAAGCCAAACTGTGGAATGCTCTGCCTTCTTCTGTGTTTCCACATTCTTACAATCCGTCTCACTTCTAAAACCTGGTATTCCGGAATCTTCATGGTAGATGACCTGTGCCCAGGTGGGCTATTCCCCGTAAAAAAAAAAACCGCTCCCCCTCTGCTGAATAAAACTGTCTGGCATTAGCCAAATAAATTGTAGAAGTTAATTTGGAGAATTAAGCAGATAACATATGACAACAATAAACAAAACATGTTGAATTGTTTTTCTTTGCTGTTCTTAGTGGTTGAACTGAAAACTTGAGACCCTCTGCACACCATTTATTTTCGAAGAACACATTGACCAGTGAATGCTGAGTCCTTCAAATGGAAGGTCTCTGCTGTCCCTGTGCCAATTTTAAAATGATCCAGTTCTTACAAAACCAGCAGCAACAAGGGCGACCTGAATTCTCTAACAATGCTATGAAATTTATGCTCAATTAGTGATTTATACTAGTTAATTTAACCTGGCTCAAGTGTACAGTATCAGGAGTGTGGTCCAACACTAAAGTTATTAATTTAACAGCAGTAGGAGGAATGGTCTCATTATGATAGTCCTCAACTTCTTGATTTATTACTAAGTTCAGGGGACCTTGTAACCCATAACTGTTGAGGCATATTGACACTTCATAACTGCATTAGCCCCATGAAATATAAACTCCAATTCCTGTTAGGAGCTCAGAGCTCCCTGCAGATTATCCACATACAAGGACTATAATTTTGTTTGTAAATTCAATGTCTATTAATTGATTTAAGTTAGGTAACATAGCCAGCAATAAAAATCACAAACTAGTTATTGCATAAAACAATGGCTTACACCTGCAGGCAGTCCTCATTATCTGTCACCACATTGTTCATCTTTTAGTTAATCCATCATTTGGAAATAAAATTACAGTATTACCTCTCTATACCAAAAAAATTTGTGAGCAGTCCAATGCCAAACTTTGTTCGAAATACAATACAGTACTACAGTATATATAATAAACTTTGGTACATGTACTGTACTGTATTTGTAGTCTGGATAAATTGTCACAGTACAGTATACTGGATATTTTGTTATAAAAAATACAGCACACTCTAGTTTGGGAACACAAGACTTTAATAAACACTAAATATCACACATAAAACATACAGTAACACATAGATACTGTACAAAACTTGATTTCATATTACATAAACAGCTCCTTCCCTGGCTGGTCAGCTGTTCATACTATGCAAACAAAGAACCAGGAATTTCATATGGCACAATGCTGTAACTCATCTTACTACATTTTGTATAGCAATACAATATAGTACAGGTAGTGTACTCACCAAGAGAAAGGCTCCATCCTCTGGCACTTGGCAGGTGGTACATCTTTGCAATTTCTGTCCAGATTTCCTCAGATAACATATCCAACTCCTTTTTATCTCTGAAAAGAGAGAACGTTAATGATGTAATTAAGTATTAAATAATAATACATGTCTTTTCATTGACCTATAATAATAAGATCTCTTGGTGTACAGTAGAGGAGCCAGTGAGACCTCCACACACCAGGACTTTGACACATTTTAATAGACATCTCACCGAAAGTGCCATATTGACATGCATCCTCCCATAATCTATCAAGTAAGCCACCTACACCACTCATTCCCCTACAGAGTGATCAACTCTGTTGGTGCATATGTATTTTACCCCTGTACACAGGTAAAAATGGACCCCCCACTGTTCAGCAAATGTTATTTGCAGATTTGGGGATTCGACCATTTGAGAACCTAACCTCTCTACATAGAACTGCCCAAGTGGCTCTAGGTTCAAAAACATGCAGTGGACATTATTATTATTTGGCTTCACTTTACATTTACATTCATAAGAAAAAGGGACTCAATGAACATCAAAGTCCTTGAATTAGTAATCCTTGACCCCCAAAAAAGGTGATGTACTGTATATATCTGAGCAGTACTGTACTGGGTGACATAAATATCCCTCAAGCCAAAACTGATAGATGTATATCATTATCAGAGAAATAAGATACAAAGGTAAAGGAGTAAAAAAAAAAACTTATCGGAGAAAAAACATTTCTTAGTGAAAATAAATACAGCTATCTTTCTAATTTATGTGGATGATGATAGATATGTTTACGAAATGCAGAAACGAACACAAACACTGATGTTTTATGGACATTTCAGTTTCTGTATTTTATGGCATGGAAATATTTAGGAAAAAACTTTTGTGTGTATTTTACTCCTGTAGCCATAGTTTTCTTAAAATAATATACAGTCGGCCCTTAACATTCGCGGGGGTTAGGTAACAGAGATACCCGTGAATGTTAAAAATCCGTGTACTATTGCTGCCCCCTAAAAAATCCCTGAACCCCCATGTCCTTATTTACCGTATATACCTGTGTGTAGTTCGAGTTTTTAAGACCAAATTATTTGGCAAAAATTGGCGGTCGACCTCTAAACGGGTAATAGTTTCGTTAGGTTGAAAAATATTTACCAGTAACTACCGCCTCCTCCCCGCTCTATCCCTCCGCCTCCTCCACATCGTCACTACTGTTGTATTACAATAATATTCTATCCTAATTGACTTGAATAAATACTACGATACCATATTTCTGAATATTTTCATTAAAATCCATCCAAATCATTTTCCTTGCCATCGGCAGCACCAAACAGCTTCTCCCAGTCCTCTCCTTGAACAGGGCTAGAGGGTACGTGTTTTTCGAATCGTTTTCAATTAAAAAAATGTTACATCACACGTATATTTTACCTAAACTGCGCCTGAATGAATATATTCTTGGAAATAAATAGTAATTTTGCTGAAACGTGATGTATTTTAATGTAAAATAGGATAAAATACATGACGAAAACAAAAGACTTCACCTAACCTTCCAATGTTCAAGAGATGTTACTCGTTTTTTAAATAGTTTTCGGTTAAAATACTGTTATATTACAATGATATTATTTTCATACTGTGCTTGATATACTACATTCACAGAAATGAAATATTTTTGCTGAAATGACGCAAGTATTACAGTGGAATGTGGGACAAAATCGTGACGAAAACAATGACTTTCGCTTTCTTTCGCTCAAAAGATGTTACCGTAATTGCTTTTCGAATGGTTTTCAGTTAAAAAACTGTTGGATCACAAGTGAATTAGGATAGAATATTATTGTAATACATCAGTTTTTTAACTGAAAACCATTCGAAAAGCGATTACGGTAACATCTTTTGAGCGAAAGAAAGCGAGTCATTGCTTTCGTCACTTTCCACTGTAATACGTATGTCATTTCAGCAAAATATTACATTTCCATATTCTCAGAAATAAATATTACTTTTGCTGAAACGTGATGTATTTCAATGTAAATTAGGATAAAATACATGACGAAAACAAGAGACTTTACCTAACCTTCCGATGTTCAAGAGATGTTACTCGTTTTTTTAGTAGTTTTCAGTTAAAATACTCTTATATTAGTGATATTATATTCATACTGTGCTTGATATAATACATTCACGGAAATGTAATATTTTTGCAACTACAATGCTGATGTCAACACAAGCGTGGTTACAGCGAGACTGACTGAGTGAGGGAGAGCTATGCGTGTGTGTGTGAGGTTGCGGGAGCGGGCGGTGTCCCGTGTTCGGTGCCGCGCGCGAGTTGAATGGCGAGCGATTTGAATGTACTTCAATTACTTCAATGTACAGAATATTCCTCTGGCGGGGCAATCCGCGTATTTGCGAATCCGTGAATGCTAAACCCGCGTATGTGAAGGGCCGACTGTATAGAAGTACCAGATAATGTGAGGAATGAATGAAAATAATACCAATATATTAACTCAAACAAAAATACAGTACTGTACAGTACTGTATTCGTATTTGCCTGCTGTACAGCTGAGACCCTCACTCCCCTACCCTCCTCTTAACACACAAACAAAGTTTATTCTGTACAGTGGTCCCTCGGTTAATGAGCGCCTCGGTTAACGAGATTTCGGTTAACGAGTTGCCTTCCATAAGATTCTTAACTTCGGTTAACGAGCAATCCCTCGATTAACGAGTTTCTTACGAGCCAACCTGAACATGATTTCGCTTGCATTTGGCGGTCCACCAGCTGTAGTATTAGTCCGCCAATACAGTAATCGGTTCTAGGGCTTAAATTCCTTACCATTTTAGCAAATATCAAGAAGTTTATACTATTCAATAATTTTAAAAGTTTAATATTAAATTTTTTACTCATTTTAAAAATTTTTGAACATAATTGAAGGTAATGAAACTAGTTTTATGCGTGGCATCCAGCCTCTCAACACACCATACAGGCATCAGTCTTTGTGTCTTTTCAGTGGAGGTAACATCTTGCTTGAGACTCTCTTCAACTAAACGCCTTTTTTCTGTTTTTGCAAGCAAATTTTAGGTCATTTTGAAATTTATTTTACATATTGACAATATATAATGCAGTGCAGTGTTCATTTAAAGAAAATAATCTTGAATTGCACCAAGAGAACTAAAATTTCATGGGTGAAATGGCGCCATGGGGTGACTTCTCTTCCACCCCCAATGCCTTCTCTTCTCCCTTCTCCACCCCCATTCTAATTCCCATCATCATCATCCACGAGCCTTCTACATACACACCTCAAAGTAAGTGTACTTTTCTACCTTTTTTGTTGAATTTAGGCAATTTTCGGTGAGCTGGAACCAATTACCCAAAACCCATTGAAACAATGGTTTCGGTTAACGAGCAACCTTCTAGAACGTATTGTGCTCGTTAACCGAGGGACCACTGTATAATGTTCCCCTCAAATTAGAAATCACTCATAATTTTAATGTTTTGCTGTTACAAAATATACATTACAAATTTCCTAACAGTATTTGGTAAAATTTCGAAATATGAGAGACATTTTGAAATACTAAAATATGTATACAGTGGTCCCTCGGTTAACGAACGGTTCGATTAATGAAATTTCGGTTAACGAATTACCTCCCATAAGGATCTTCAATTCGGTTAACGAACAAAACTTTTATTAACAAAATCCTTCCGACAAACACATTTTGTTGTGAGCATCAGCTGATCAGCTGATCAGCTGATGGGCTAGTCTGCCAATTCAGTAATCTGTTCTATGTTTACATTCGTTTCCAGTGGAGTAAATATCAATAAAATTGTGCTCTTTAATATTTGTGCATTTTTTATATTAAAATTATTGGTCATTCTAAAATGTAGCCATCCAAGCTCTGTCTACATAAAGTTTTTCAACTAATATTTTTGGCTCGATATACAGTATGTAACTTTATTCATTTATTGAAACTCATTTACATGCACACAGTCTTAAGGGCAAAGCTGTACTGTACATGTAATCAAAATAATGTACAAAATGATTACTAAAATTTTTGTCTAGTGCAAACTAACGCATGTTTACATTCAAATTAATCACGATCTTATAAGAATTCCAGCAATGTAAAGTATATTCTCCCCAGTCGCTTCTATGACATTTTATAAACAAAATACAAAAACTCAATCTAAAGGACATAAATAAACAAATAAATACTTCACTAGACCTTCTGCGCTAACTGTCAAACATGTCACTGTTGTAGTGGATTTCTCCCCTACAAACGCTGTTTGTCGCTGCGTAGCCGACCCCGCGAATTCCCCATTGTATGCCTCGTGGTCTGGGTCAACCAGCGCCGCCATACATCACGGAGGTCAACTACTAAGCCACGCCTACCCCCCGCTATTTAAGACCTGACCTCGTGGTGATCTCTCTCTTCTACTAGCTACAGCCGCAGCAACTAACACCACCTCCTCCGCCGCTGCCTGGTGGTCCTCGCTCCCGCCGGCGAGCATGGCGACCCACAAGCTGTCCTCCTCTGAGCACCCTCACCAACCAGCTCTCTCTACATCATGCTTGTAACCACGCTGCCTTCCCAGCACCAAGCTGCATTGTACATCCAATACAACATGTATACAGAGAGCACATTGTGAGTTTCCTTTCTCCATTCCATCCTGAGTGAGGACACAAACAACCTGTTCCCCACACTGTCACCCCTCCCTCCCTCCTCCCCCCTCCCACCAAGGGTTTAGTGGTTATACAATAGGCTTTAAGTTTTTATCTTATATAATATCACAGACTAAAGTTAGGAGAATATAATTTGCATTGCTGGAATCCTTGCAGTGAATAATTTGAATATAAACATCATATATTTTGCACAAGAGATAAATATTTTAGTACATTAATTCAGTACATTTTAGTAATGTAAAGTTTTTCAACTGTATTTTTGGGTAGATTTACATAAATTTCTTCATTTATTCTCATTCATTTACATGCACACACCATACTAAAAGAAACGTAAAAGAAATAAATGACCTTAGTGCAAACCTGTACTGTACATGTACTAAATGATTATGGTACTAAAATTGTTATGTCTAGTGCAAATTATAGC